AGGAATGACTGAAAACACACAGCTTTTACCTTTGGCTTCCTTATAAAAACTCGTAGGATCCGAGCGTGCTACGCTTTGCTTTACCACCACCGCTGCCCCCTGTTACGCCATTGACAAGGAGTAAATTGGTATCCTGTACCAGCTGTTAGTATGTTTAATGCTGTCCTAATCAGTCTGGTATTTTGGAGCTATTTTAAATGAAAACGACTAGTAAGTCTAATATATGCACCACTTTCCTATCCTGTTAGTAGGGGAGAGATTTCTCCCAGGCAGCCTGATTTAGTCCGTTAAAGCCCCCATGCCCCCAACCCCCCTCCTTTCAAACCAAACACAAAAGCTGAATAACGTTTGAAGGGACAGACACTACCGTCCTGCTGCTGAGGAGGCAAGGTGGCCAGTTCCTGACTCAAGAAAAGCGATCTGAAGAAACATGAGGAGCATATACATTTCCTTAAAAAAAGCAAACATCCCTAGCTCCCTGCGCTCGTTACTGTGTGTGTACATCGAGTTAAAATGAATTCTTAATGCCATTTGCTGAGGAGGGGAGCTAGGGGATGCCAATTTGAAAATAAATACAAAAGTCAAATTGCTTCAATACAGAAAAGACAGCTGAAGTTAGCCTTTGAAAAAATATTCACATTTAGAAAGTGCCATTGCAAATATACAGCAAAACTAATCTGCCTTAAAAACGACGCTTCACAGCCCTATCAAAAGTGCCACCTTTTGAACATGAGTTCACTTTAACATTGCACAGCTAAAAACAATGCATAAACAAAATTATCTACCTTTATATAACAAGGTGCCCAAACATTAAAGCAAAACAACGTGATGGTAGTCAGGGCACACAAAGCATCCTGACTATGGACAGGATCCATTCAGCTAGCTTCTTTCAGGGCCTAAAAAGATTATTCCTACCTTCCCTTTCCAAGCGGAACTGGACTTTGCTGGAATATTACTTGTAAGTCATTCTTTTTGAGGAGGCCGTTTATTGTAAACCCAAGACACCAGTGACTGTGGGTACCTCGGTGCAGCGCTCCCGTGCCTGATGCACATGTAACTTTCAGGTCCGAGGACAAAGCTGGTAAAGCCCCGCTGAAACCAGTGCGAGCGGACTGGTGAGAGCACGCAGATTTCAATACCTGGTGTAAAGCTGTACTAAGGATGCGTTCTCTCTCCAGGCACCACAAATCTCTTCAGCTGCTGTCTGGAGCCGGAGCCTGGAGAGGGATGGCTTGCGTGGTGAGGAGCGGTGCGAGGCTGGGGCACGGTGGAGACTCTGCTCCGGCCCCCCGACAGGTACGAACGCTCAGCGCCGTCTGGCAGGGGATGGGTCACAACCAGGGCAGTGAGGCGGGAAGAGGACACTTGCCGAGGCCTGGTGAGTCCGTGTGACGTGCTGAGCAGAGAGGAGACCTGTGCTCAAACACCGGGCTCAGTGAGACCCTCGGTCATTTGCCACATCTTGTAGTCGTCTTAACAGAGCGGTGTGATTCTCCTGGCAGATTCGCTTGGCTGGTGCTTCAGTACCATCTTCTAAGAGAATGCCTCTCTTCTTGGTTGGGGTTTCTCCGGTTCTAACCATGCTGTTAATCTCCTTTAGCCTCTGGAGAGAGGGAGGAAGGAAAAAAGTAGAATTATCTTCTGTTATTGTGACTACCAAAATGTCAAATGAACTTTTGTTAATGGCCTGGCCATGGGATTACAGATGCTTTGTTTCTGGAGCTCTGCACTGTACCAAGTGCTTCCTGTGACAGACCGACCTTCTCAATCACTGCACTGGTTGTTCCGTCACCGTGTGCTAGCGTCCTGCCTGTTGTTTCGGTGCACGTGGAGCTGAAAGGCCTTCCAGCCACAGTCCTGACTGGTACCTTACACGGCAGATGCAACAGTTCCTACCTACAGTGAAGATGCTTCTTGGGGAAGGTCTGTACTTCATTGTTCTTGGTGACCAGAGCTCAGAGGACTTGGCCTATTACATTATCACCTGGTAAGTCTTTTCACGTTGAGAGCCATTACTTGGGTTTTCCCCCCTGGGTAGGTAAGAGGATGTGATTGTGTTTCGTGTGCTGCTCTTTGCACAGCCGCCTTGCCAAGCCACCCATCTGTTACCAAGAGTGACTGTTAAAAGTACACTGGCAGCTTGGGCACCGGGTTGGTTCACAACTTTTTAGGTGCCTGAACTGAGAGTTTGAAGAGGGTTAGCTGAGAAAGTACGTGTTAAACAAGGGAAACAGAAAGGTGTGTTGCGCAGTCCTCCCTAATTTCATTACCAAAGAGAAAAGGTAGAACTAAGGATTTATAAAAGCAAACTAACCCCCTTGAGTCTCACCTTAGACGGGCTGCTGCTGAAATAATAGAATATTTTCTCTCGAGGAGAAAGCGCAGACTCGTTTTTGTGTGGCGAGATGTATACTGAGTGATTCTGGGACAGCTGTATTCGGCGAGGGGAGCCGATCCTTACAAACGGGTAGGGCGAGAGCGGAGGAGAGTCGGTCTGCTCAAAGGAAAATGAAAACAACTTCAGTGGTTGGTATCTGATCTTGGGTGTTACTACAGCAAGGCTTTTGTAAGCTGGTTGCCTTAAAGACAGTTTAGTTTTTTCCCACTAATGTCATTCCATACGTATTTAGAACAGATGCAAGTTTTGTCACGTTATTAGGCCAGATGAGTTTGGTTTTATTTATTTGCTTTTCTAACCCTGTCTGAGGCTGGCGGATGACATTGCTCAGTGCTGCGTATTTCATACAGGAGGCAACAGCAAATAGGCATCAAAAGTACTTAGTACTGCAGCAGCAAAGTATGGCGTTGAAGTGAAATTATTCTCTGAAAAACCTAATCCCTTGAATTTGCTTACAGTGAGGTTAGCTAAGAGTACTTTACTGCATGTACGGTACAAAAAAGATGTACTTACTAGCAAAAAGCACAGAATTCCACTTACTGCATTTGAAGTGTACTTCAGGGCAAACTCTTTAATCTGCTCGATGTAGATGTTGTTGTAGAACTGTATAAGGTCTCCTCGCTCTTCCTCCTCTGTGTCACTGTTGGCACCTGTCAGCCGGGTTGGAGTAGGGGGAGCGCTGTTGGGGTGCGGTACTGGCAGGGTGCTGCTGGATCGCATCACGGGGCTGGAGTCTCTACTAGCTGTGAGGGCGAGAGCAACCTCTCCTTTAGTCAGCCTCAGCTGCTGAATGCACATCAGTCACGGCATCCCAGGAATTTGGCTGATTCAAAAACTGCCTTCCAGATGTGGAAATAGCAGTATAGTGACCACAAATCTGGTGTCAGTATCGGCGATGCGAATGTTGTTGCCCTAGCGTCTTCCCTTACAAAAAAAGCAGTGTGTTGTTAAAGAGCAACAAACTGCTGAGTATGTGCAAGAAACAGACTTCATTTCGGACTTCTTACCGGATAAACTGCAAGTGGCTTTTCTGTATACGCTATTTTCATCACAAGATAAGCAGAGCTAAACCTCCATTTCTCAGGCATTTGTGCTGTACTGTTAACAGCTCGCTCTTGTTGCCAGCTGGCACAATTTCAAGTAAGGAACATCAGTCTTTTTCAGCTAGCAGTAAATATTTGGCTTTGTAATTCTTCCTGCTGGTTTAATGTGGGGAGTTGTAAAATGTATAT